TAGCTCTTCCAGGAGAGCACTTTTCTTCCTCCTTCCCGTGGCCCTTTTCTTTTCTCCTCCCTCCCTCCTTCCTTCCTTTCTTTCTTGCAACAAATATTCATTGAGCACTGTATTGGTTACCAATTGCCAGGTAACAAACCACTGCCAACCTTAGTGTTAAAAAACGACCCCCATTTTATAGTGCCTGATTTTGTAGGTTGGTGGAGCTCCTCTGCGCCGTTCTGCTCCCGTGGTGTTGGCTGGGCTGCCTCATGAGGCTGCATTCAGCTGAAGGGTTGGCGGCAGTGGAAGGTCCAGCATGGCCTCACTCATGTGTTGGGCAGTTGGTGCTCCAGCGGGGCACCTCGGTTTTCCTGCACGACCTCTCATTCTCCAGGATCTTTTCCGCCCTGTGGCCTTTCCAGCAAACTTGCCTGCTGTTGTCTTCCAAGAGGGTGAATCAGAAGCTGCAAGGTCTCTAGACTCGGAAGTCACAGAGCGTTGCTTCCACCACATTTTATTGGTCAAAGCAAGTCACAGACTAGATTCGGGTGGAAAGGAATGATCCTACCTCTTCATGGGCAGAGTGGCAAGGTCATATTGCAGAAAGATACGTGGGATGGGAGAGAGTTGGAAGGCCGTCTTAGGAAACACAGGTACCTACTATGTGCCAGGCATTGTTCTAGGCCCTGGGAACACAAAGGTAAATAAAAGAAAAGAAAACCCTTGTTCACCAGGAGCTTTCATTCCATTGGGGGAAGATGACAGGAAACAAGTAAAATATATAGTAAGTTATATGGTGATAAAGGCTAAAGAGAGAAATAAATTGGGGCAGGATGTGGTGTGGTAGGGAAGCTACAGGGTCAGGGAAGGCCTCACTAAGGAGAGTCATATGAGCAAAGGCTAGAAGGAAGTATGAGATGAGCTTTACCAGTGAAGGGAACAGCAGGTGCAAAGGCCCTGGGGTGAGGACATGGTTGGTGTGGTTGTTTGGGAGGCCTCCAGTAGGCATTTACTGATTGAGATGGAAGATGGGGGAGGACTTTTTGTTTTAATTAACATAATCCATATAACATAAAATTTACCATTTTAAAGTATAAAGTTAAGTGGTTTTTAGTACATTCTTCTTGTTGTTCAGACATCACCACAACCTAATTCCAGAACATTTCCATCACCCAAAAAAGAAATCCCATAACCATCAGCCGTTATTCCCTACTCCCCCTCCCCCCATTCCATGGGGGAGACAACTATTAAGACACTTTCTGTCTCTGTGGATTTGCCTCTTCTGGACATTTCACATAAAAGGAATCATGTAGTATGTGGCTTCTTTCGCTTAGCATATATTTTCAAGGATTATCCATGGTGTAGCACGTGTTAGGACTTCATTCTTTTTTATGGCCAAATAATATTCCATCACATGTACATGCCATATGTTGTCTGTCCATTCATCAGTTGATGGACATTGAGTTATTTCTACTTTTTTGGCTATTATGAATAATGTACAAGTTTTTTGTACGAACCTCTGTTTTCAGTTCTTTTGGATACATTGCTGGGTCATAGGGTAACTTCTATGTTTCGTCTTTTGAGATTGGTTTCCAAACCAGGCTGGTTTCCAGAGCAGCCGCACAAGTTCACATTCCCACCCGCAGTGGATGAGGGTTCCAGTTGCTCCACGTCATCACCAACTTTTGTCACTTGCTGTTTTTGTGATCGTAGCCATTCTAGTGGCTGTGACGTGGTATGGTGGAAGAGTTTGAGCTGAGGAGGGCCTTGGTTTTAACAGAATCTCTGAGGAGTAGATTGAAGGGGAGCAAAAGAGGAAGCAGAGGACCAGTGAGTAACAGGCTACTGCAGTGGCCCCAGCGAGGGAAGGCAGTGCCTTGCACCAGAGTGGTGGAGAGAAGCGGGTGGATCTGGGATATATTTTGAAGGCAGAACTGAGAGGGTTTGCATAAAGGTTGGATGGGGTTGGGGGTGGGAAAGAAAGACGAGTCAAGGATCCTCCCATGTGTTTGGCCTGAGTACCTGGAAGATGAAGTTTCCCTTTGTGGAGATGGAGAAGACCACGGATGGTGGAGGGTCATTTTGTGTTTCCTTGTGCCAGTTGCTGGTAGGCAGACCCCGCCCCTTTTCGGCTTTTGACACGCCCAGCTGGGAAGCTGGGATTGGCACTTGGAGCAGGAGATGTGGAAGAAGGCGGTGAATACCATGATTCACACGTGTTAAAAAGATGCCTGCCTGCCATCCCCACTGACCACGCCCTGAACGTCACTTAAAGCGAGCCATTTGCTTCCCTTCCCTCGGAGTGGGACAATTTCTGCCCGGGGGTTGCAAAGGATGGTGAGGGCGTTCATTTTGCTTATGGGCTGGTTAAAAAGGCATGTGGGCTGCAGCCTGCAGGACTCTTATTTCTGAGGCCACTTAGGGAACTACCGTGAGAGAAAATTGTCCGGTGAATGATCTGTGGGCACGGTGGGGTAGCTAATCCTTCCTGCTGGTTGGGAATGATTTGGGACTTGTCCTTCCCTTAACTGACCAAGCAGTCAGCAAATGCTCTCTTTGCTCCTTCCCTGCTGCTTTGGGCCACCGCCCTAGGCACCAGGAGGAGGGGGCAGTGGGGAGACCATAGTTGACAGGCAGCAGTAAAGCGGGCACACTTTCCCACTCCCTAGAGAGCACCTTGGTGGTGACAAACTTCTGAAGTCAGAGAGGTTGAAATTTTCGCTTCAGTGTCTATTAACCGTGTGACTTTGAACAAGTGACTTAAGCTCTCTGATCCTCTGTTTCTCAATCCATAGAAAGGGGGAAATTATGGCACCTACAGTATAGAGTTCTCCTGAGAAGCAAATGAGATAATCCATATATGGTGATTAGCTCTTGTTTCTATTATCTAGTGAGAGAGATCCATAAAGCAACCATTTATATGTGCCTACTGTGTGCCTGCACCCTGTTAAATGGCTTAGCCATGTCTATTATGTGAGGTTAACCTAAAATCCTGCCAGATGGATGTGGCACTTCCTGTCACAGGTGAGCCAACCCAGATGCTCAAGTTAAGCCCCTGGGTTAAGGTCATACAGCTGGCAAAAGAGAAAGATGGGGTTCGAACTCAGGACTGACTAACTTCCTTTGTGAACACGCTAGGAGAGGTCGAGAGGCTCTTCCTATGAGCAAAGAGCTGCAGTGTGTCTTGGGAAGGAGGCTGACCAGCCAGCTGGGGCGTGGTCCTTCATGTCCCTCTGGCAGGTTTAGTCTTCCCAGGCATCTTTGGACTGGGGCATAGATTGTCTGCACTGTGCTCCATCATGCATCTGTGCCCCCTCCCGTCTCTCTCGCTTTCCTCTGGATCAGAAGGAACCACCAACCTTCCCCCTTCTACCTCAGTAGCCTCTCAGCTCCTTCTTTCTCCCTTAGTGCATTAAGGACACTTTTTTTTTTTTTTACCATGCTTTTACTTTTTGAGGGGTGGGAGGGGGACTTCCTGTCCTCCTTCCATTGCGGTCCCCTTCCCCTGTCAAGCCTCCCCCAGTGAGGCACAGAAATAGTCCCAGCTGTGAGATGAAGGTTGCAGAGTTTAAAATTGCAGCTCGGTACTATTTATACTCCAGCCGGAAAGATGTTTTTTTGTGCAGCCGTTTATTTGGTTGTGGTATTGACAGCCCAGGCTGCAGGCGGCAGGCTCCTGCACTGTATAAACATTTATCCGGGGACAAGTGTGCAGTAAGGGCAGCCTTCAGGTGAGGGAGGCAGGTGCCAGGCCTGCCCAGAAATGTCTGGGAACACCTCCCTGGGGCAGAACAATTCGGCCTGGTAAGCCAGAGAAAGCGGTTCACGTTCCAGCTGAACTTCCTTCCTAGATGCCTGGTAATTAGAAAAAAAAATACAGGTATTTTATAAATCATGAAAATAGTACATGCTCGAGGGGAAAAAGGGTTCAAACTAATTTTTACACAAGTGATTAAAGCAGGCAAACCCTTCATGTTCTATTTTGGTTGGCCCATGGAGCGTTAAAATTTTTTTTTGAATTTGTGCCACTACTTAAAAATTGGGACATTTCCCATAAAGTTAGAATTTCTGGCTTCTCTTGAAAATGGAAGGTTCTGGCAATGCTGGCCTTGTGTTTGCTGATGGCTGCTAGTGGCTGGCTGCTCCAGAAGTAGGCAAGTGATTTTCAGATCACCCCAAGCCCCAGTGGCCTGCTTCGTGTTCATTTACCTTACTGCCTGGCCTTGATGACTTTTGAGGTTTGGACCTTTCACATAACATAAAACATTCAGGGCTCCCGTGTCAGAGTGTCAGACCTCATTCCCCAGTTCCTACTCCCCAGGGCTAAGTAAGCACTATCGATAGGGTTTCCAGATAAACTACGGGACCCCCAGTCAAATATGAATTTCAGATAAACAACAAATACTTTTTTAGTGTAAGTGTATCCCCTAACTATTACAGTTTGGTAGTATCATCCCAGGCCTTTCTCTCTTGAAGCACACACGTTTCACAAGGGTGGTTTTATATTCTACCTCTCCTGCACTTGACTTTGTTCTCCGTGGTTTGTCTGGAGAGGCATTTTTCAGTGTTGATAAGAGCAGGCTTTGAGGCTGGGGACTCAAACCTACAGGAGAGTCTGGGCCCCAGTGCTTGTTAGCTCTGTGACCTTGAGCAGGTTCGCTTGCCTCTCTGAGCCTCAGTTTCCTCATCTAAACAACGAGGGTGATAAGGGTCACTTTGTTATCTCCTGTTAGTATTTATTTATCTCCTCGCTTTTGAGAGCTGCAGTAGAGTGGATGGCCCAGGGTGGCTTTAAGCAGAGAGGTTAAACAGAGGTGCCCTCGGGCATCAAGACTGACCGGGCACATCCCGATTTCCAATGAGGCTACTGAGAGGTTCTGAAAAGGCAAAGTAGGTCTGGAGGGAACTGGGCAGATAATCCTAAGATTTAGTTTGCTTTAAAAAAGAAGAAAGACAATGAAGGGCGTTTGTCTCCCTGGAAACCACTTGCTAATCTCCAGGATCTTGTGTCTCTTCAGGCGGCGGAGGTGGGGAAGACCGTCGAGGGCTTGCTCCTCAGGCTGGAAGAGTTTTGCAGCCTGGCTGACATGGTGAGTGCCTGCCTGGGAGGCGTGGGTGCAGGCCCAGCCCAGACTTCAGGGCCTTCCGGGGCTTCCCTGGGGAGCCACCTCGGCTGGCGTGGCGGCTTAGCCAGCAGGAGGCGTGGGCAGGGGCGTGGGGGAAGCTCACACCCTCTCCCTCGGTCCACACGAGGTTCCCTGAGGCGGCCATCTTGATAACGCCCTTCCCCGGAGATGCCTTCATTCCACCGAGGAGGCGGGAGTGGGCCACCAGGTGGCACTCTCGGGCCCGATGCGGGGAGCCGGTCGGCGGGGACGCTAAGACTATATTTAACTTTCCTTGCTCTGCACAGTTCGCCAGGCAGACGTGGAGACAGCCAGGAAATGGCTTCAGGCCTGGGAGGCCTAGGAGGAGCCTCCTGGCCGGGCCCTGGCCCTGGCGGGCTGCGGTATCGAGCGCCCTCCTCAGCCCTTTGGTCCCTCCACTGTTGCCTCCTACCCTGCTTGGTGGGAGCGGCTCCTCCTGGCGGGGTGGGGAGGACCGTGGAAGATGGTGCCCTAGGCCAGGAAGGCAAGGTCTCCACTCCTCCTTGTGTCTCCAGGATTGTTGCCGGACAGCTGCGGGGCCCTGAGGAGCGCTGATAGAATGTTCTGGAAGTTCCCAAGCTTATTAAAGGCACACCAGCAGCCAGGGTTCGTGGCTTCCGCCTGGAGGCCCAAAGGGTGGAGCTTCATTTTGGGACCAGGCCTGCCTCTCCCCTGGAGCACAGGAAGCCCAGCTGGGCCCAGCCGTGCAGATGTGTACCAAGCGTCTGGAGAGACGCTGGTGAGAGCCCCAGGGAGTAACGTTTGTTGAACATCTGCTTTGTGCCACGCTCCGTACAGAGCGTGCTCTCTGTATCCTCCCATTCCACCTCAGAGCAACCTGCCACGATGGGTACGACTTTATCCCCATACGTTCAACAGACATCTGAGCGCCTGCCTGTGCCAGCCCCTGGGGACACTGCAGTGAACAGGACACAAACATTCCCACAAGGACCTATCTGTGTTTTTCTCTTGAGTGCCAATTTTTTAGTTCAGATGTGGGTCCGGGTGGGAGCTGGGTAACGAGACTGACTTTGAACGCCCTGAATGGTCCTTTCTTCATCACCGAACATTGGGCACCTTCTCTGACTGGTCCCTTGGTGAGCCTGAGGATGCAAAGAGAGACAGATCTGTCTCCATCCACCCTCCCCTCCCGTCCGCAACAGCCCCCGATCCCCCAAACCCCATCTGTGTACCAGCCGCTGTCCTCCAGGGTTGAAACACTGGCCTGGAGGTGTGTTCCAGGTGCAAAGCTAGGCTGCCGAGGTTTTGAAAAGGAAAAGAGGTTCTAGAAGGAGCTGGGCACATAATCCCAAGACTCAGTTTGCTTTTTTTAAAAAAAACGAAGAGGTGTTAAATTCTGCCTGGGAAATCAGGAAGTCTTTGCAGAACAGGTGGTGATTAATTTGGGGTTTGAAAGAGGAACAGGAAGAATTCAATTGCTGGGGCAGGCGGGCGTTCAGGCAGAGGGACCGGCCTTTGGGGGTGGCATGCTGGGCACATAGGGACAGTGTGGGCCCACACAGTGGGGCATTGGGAAGATGGTGGGGACGGGCGATCCTGGGACATTTTTGTTCTCAAATCCCAGTGCATCCTCCTCCCACGAAGGGAGATCCACCAACCACCCTCAATGAGAGCTTTGGGCAGAAGTCAGCTTGGATAGACAGGGAGGGGCCAGGCCTTACTTGCCTTAAAAACTTCAAGGCTTCCTGTGGTGGGAAGTCTGCGGAGGCGCAAGATTGTATGCAGCGTCGAGAAGATCCTCTCCAAAATCAAAGCCTAGAGATGCATTTATGCAAAGATTTTAAATACAGAGGTCACAAGATGACCCATGGGCCCAATCCTGTCTGCAGACATGTTGGATGTCTCTGGGAAAAAAAAGAAAAAGGAATGGGCTGCTGACATTTATAGAATGTCATGCAAAAAAATATGGATTCCCGGCTTCTCTTGGAAAAGCAAAGATCTGTCGTTCCCGCCACCCCCTGCCCCGTGCGTGCTTGTTCTCACCTGGCAAGCATCAGCCAGAGCTGGACAGTGGCCACCCCTGTGGAGAGCACACGTGCTCTCCGGCTTGTCACCATCCCCACTGCTCCCCATGGGAGCCTCCTTGACTCCCCGGCCACCTGCCAGGTGCATCCATCCTGTGCTGTGTGCGTGTGTTTTATGGTAGAGAACATTTCTCTGTACTTCGGGCCCTACTGAAAGCAGGCAAATATCCACCAGACCGAGAGAGTCCCATGTTTTTAAGAAATGGAAGAGATTGTACTTCCCGGGAAGTGAAGACTGTTTCAGTGTGTTTATATGCAAATGAGCGTGTCTACATTAATAATAGAATGCGCCTTGTACGATGCTTTTGTGGCCCATGGAGGTGTTTTGTGTTTGCAGTCCCTACAATGAGGCTCTGTGCTGATACCATTCAGATTATAGAAATCCTCTCGGCCCCAACAGCTGGTGTTTAGCTTACCTAGCGTGTCTGTGCCCAGGTGTCATGGGCTCCATGGCACAGAGAGAGAGCTGTCCAGCTATCAGCCCTGGCTTGGGACCTCCTTTTCTCTTTTGATCCAAGCCAGGGATGAGTGGGGACCTCTGGAAGGCAGGTGATGGCACACCATGGACCACTGTCCCCAGGGCCCTGCTTTGGCCTTTGGAAACACTGATCAAGTTAGAGGTCCCAGAACAGCCGGGCTCCCTGGTGCACAGTCCAGAGAGAAATGGTTTACTTCTGATAAAATCAGGCTATTAGGAATGAGAGTCCACCTTCCTGTCTGATGTATTAAGTCCTCTGCCAGTCTGTCCCGGATCACTCTAAGTGACCAGCATTCACACCATGTGCTCGTGACCTGTTCTAACCTTAGATATAATACCTCTTGCCATCACTTCAAGCTCTGACTCTTCCCAGTGGGGCCTTGGGCACAGCATGTCACCTTTCTGTACCTTTTTTTTCTCCTCTGTAAAATGGAGGTGGTGGCTCTGATTATCTACTGCAGCATCAAACTACCCCAACACTTAGTGGGGTGAAACAACCACCAATTTAATATGTGGGCCAGGACAGGGCACAGAGAGTACAGCTCATGCAAGCTCCGTGGCACCTGCTGGGCTGGGGACATCCAGGGTGGCTGCTTCCCTCACTTGTCTGATGTCTGGGCTGGGAGGGCTGGCTGGCTGGGGACCGGTTGGCATCACTGTCCTCCATGCGGCCTCTCCTCGTGGCCGTCTGGCCTCCCAGAGCCAGCGCTCCAACAGATGGGAAGCAGAAGCCTCTGGAGACTTAGGTACGGCAATTAGCACAGTGTCACTTCTGTCGTATCTTATTGGTCAAAGCAGCCACATAGCCCACCCGGATCCAAGGGGAAAGGACATAGACCCCTCTGCTTCATGGAAGGAAAGTACAGAACTTGTGACCATCAATCATCCACTGCAAGTGGTACCCATCTCCAAAGAGTGATCGCGAGGAATAGACGAGGCAGGGATGTGCCCTTTGCATCCAGTAGAGCGGCCAAAATGAAAAAGACAGACACTAGCAAGTGTGGGCGAGGATGCGGGGCAGCTGAAGCTCTCCTTCACTGGCTGGTGGAAATGCACAAAGGGACAGCCGTGTGGAGCAGACACTCGCACACAAATGTTCATAGCGGCTTTGTTCGTCATGCCCCAAACTGCAAGCAACCCCGGTGTCTGTCGGCAGTAGAAATGGGTAAATAAACTGTTGTTTATTCATACACTGGAATGCACAGCAGTGGAGAAGACGGACCTGCCGTACACAGCAACGTGGGTGATTCTCACGAATGTGCTGTTGAGGGAAAGAAGCCAGACACACGAGTACTTGCTGTGTGAAGCTCCACCGTAGGAAGTTCACACCTCGGCAAAACCAGTCCGTGTGACGGAAGTCAGATGGAGGTTAGCCTTGGGAGGGTGGGCATGACTGGGAGGATGCCAGAAGGAGCTTTATAGGGTGAGGGGATGTTCCATGCAGTGGTCTGGGTGGTGGTTCCACAGATGTAAACACACATACTGATTCATCGAGCTGTCCGCTATAAGGCCTGGGCTCTTCACTGTATGTCATTTACACTCAATCAAAAATAATTGCTTAGCATGGTGCCTGCTATGTATTAAGTGACCCATAAATAGTAGCTACTGAGGTCATCATCATCATCAATATTAAAGCACCAGAGGGCCGCGACCCAGATGGGTTTATCCGCAGAAACTGGATTTGTGAGGCCTTTCAGCTCAGTGCCCTTGGGGGTTTGGGCAGCTTGTCTGGGCCCTCGGAAACCCTAGTAGCCTTGGGCCCACCTTCTGGCAGGGTGCGGACTCTCCCATCTCTCACATAAATGGAGAAAATTTCCTGTTGGCCTCGGCCCAGCAGTTGCATTTGGCCTTGGTGTGCGTTCTTGGGTCAAGTGCATCTGGCTCTTCTTCCTGGGCCTTGCATCATCCTGGAGAGCCATGTTTGCTCTGTGATAACCCCCTACATCCGCCACCCGGGCTTCTGGGCTCCGGAGGCCAGCTCCGGGGAGCTGGGAGGACAGGCTGGGGAAGGGTCCGCCAGGCCCCCCCAGCTCATAGACCTGGCTGGAGTTTCATCCCATTAAAGGCTCAAAAAGCATTGATTCTTCCCTGACGTCTTTGTTCTTCTGAGAAGTATGCATAAGCATGAACTCACATGCCTGTGATGTGATGATGTGAGGTGGGTTGCGTGTGAGAAGAGAAATGTGCCCCTTTCCTTCCACTTCCCTATAAGATGAACAGGGCATGAGGTGGCCACGGACGCCATGCTGGGGAGACTGTAGGTAGTGGTGGAGACTCTGGTGAACCAAAGTGGGCTGTTTGTCACCCAGCGGCAGCTGACTGTTGCCAGGTAGAACGTGTGGCATGTCAGTGTGGCCGGGTCTTCTGACTTCTCACAAGAAGCCAGAAATCTGGGTTTCTAAGGGAAATATCCTTAATTT